TTTTTGTTTTAGTTTATAGTCGATCATTATTCCTAGGTATTTGAACTTATTAACTTTTTCCAGTGCGTCGTTGTTTATATTTAGAGTTAGCAACAGACCGTTCTCAAAATTTCGCCTTGATATAATCACAAACTTAATTTTGTTTTTATTTCTGTGTGGAAGGTTTTTCGCTAAAAATTTAATTTTTTTTCGTTGTTGCTGCCAAAAAAATTAAGAAATCGGGGACGCCACGTCAGATTGTCGGAGGTTATCTTACATACATATGTGGACCAATTACATGCTACTAGAAAACTCGCTAGGTGGTGCTGGAGTAGAATTATTTATAAAAATCGTATTTATTAACCGATTTCGTTCAAATTTTAAATGTGAGCAATGTACCTGTATGATAGAAAATTCTTTTGAGTGAAGGTTGAAATTCATAACACGTATTCATTTTATGGTAAGCAATGGTTTTGCAGAAAATGAACCCAATGGATGGCGCTGCAGCCGAAATGTATAGAGACCCCGTGTGGTTGGTCTGCTTTGGCCCTATGTTTAAGTTATACGAATTTAGTTTTCAGATATCTAAATAAAGGATGGGCTCAAGTTTTTCTGGCGCCCTCAAGCACGATCATGCGGTCCTGCATCTACCCAGAAATCAGTTCATAAATTTTACCATGAATTGTAAAAGTGGCGATATAACAAGGAAAGATCACCGTAGGTATATCAGTTGCTTCATTTGAAAGATACTTAAGAGATCACACGACTCATTTAGCAATGTAGCGGAAAACTTTTGATCCTGTGGGACAGCGAGGATTCCTGGCCCTCCTATAACAGAAAACGCACTTCTGTGCTCTTGAGTTTCCCTATAAGAATTTTTATTGGCATACGCATCGCACCAATTTTGAAGTTGCAAGATCATAGAAGAATATTACGCACGCTTGGCAGAGATCTCACAGGTGGAAATAAGACCAACGGTAAAGCTCATGACACCGAAAGGGATTGGTATCCCATATGGTATCACAGCGTTACTATTATTGGCCCATGTGTGAGGAGGATACTGCCTTAATGGTTTCTACTTAAATCAAAAATTTTGACTTTACAGACTAATTTGGTTTTTAAACGCTATTTTGCATTGGCTAACAAAGCTCTTATTAGGCGCCGCGAAGTAAGCGGGCATTGGCTAGTATGAAATAAAAAATAATATTTAATAAATTTAAATAAAAAAATCAATAATAAGTTCCTAAAATAAAATAAAAAAATCATTTAAAAAGAGCAATATGTAAAAATTTAATTTAAAAAATGAAACAAAAAAAATGATCATAAAAATTAAATGAAATTAAAACAATATATATATTTTTATTTTTAGAATAATAAAATCTAAAAACAAAATGAAAATTAAATTAAAAAAGAAAGAATTAAGAAAAATAAATAAATACAAATTTTTAAAAACCAACGAATTTCAAAAAAAAAACGTTTCCCTTTAAAACAATAAAATCTACAAATTAGGTAAACAAAAAAAAGTACCTAAAACATAATAAACAGTAAAATCTAAAATTTAAATTTAGAAAATTAAACAACGAAAATATAAGTGCTTAAAAGCTAATTTTAATTAAAATGAATTTCTAAAAATTAAAAACAGAAGAAGAAAAATAAATTTCTAAAATTTTATGAAACTAAAAAAACTTTTTTTGTTTTTAAAACAATGAAATCTAAAAATTAAGCTTAAAACCGAAAAAATTTAAATTAAATTGACATCTAAAAATCAAAACAAAATTAAATAAAAAAATAAATAAAATTCCGCTGCCCGCCAGTGCTAAACTAATTCCTCCATTGGGACTGTTGGAGGAGCGCAAGCAAAATGAAATACAAGTGGTTTCTGTCAAAAGAGCTTTTCACCATGAAAGTTGGCAAGGGAGCTTAAACAAAATCTTGCAAACTAACTTGTCTACTGTCTTTTAATTTTCTTACCAAAGACTTTCTACTATTATCTTAGCCAAAATTGTCATGTTAAAACAAGTAGTTTTTAGCAAAAAAAACCGACTTAAACTATCATATAAAAAAAAATATATATATGTATATATCTCATGATCCACCAGATTAGTATGGAACCACCTCTGAGGCAGTACCTTTCCGATGCAAAAAGAATTATCGCAATCGGTTGACATGGTCCAAAGTTATGCCGTAACATACATAAACAAAAAAAATATTCCGACGAACTGGTAACCTCCTCCTTTTTTGGAAGTCGGTTAATGATTAATTACTCATAATTTTCACAGAATCATCCAATAACATTTTTAAGTCTTGCGGTGTATTTCTTGTCGTTAAGAAATGCAGATGAATGACGCCTAGCATAAGCTTGCGGCACCTACTTTGGGAACCCTGGCATTAGTCGATGTTGCGACTTCTGCTACAGCATTTAACAGCGCTGTTTGATGCAAAGCATTCAACTCTGTTAGTGTTCAACTAAAACACTCTTTCTTTGAGCTCAAGTATAAATAAGCATATATTTGCACGTACCTACCTAAATATGTTTACTTTTATGAATACATATAGCTTTTTTATGATTTTGTCCACTTTCGTGCAGCTGAGCGCTACAATCAGCTGAGTGATTTATCTATAATATATATTCAATTGACAGCTTGTAGTACATACTTAAAATTTTAATACGCAGTTTAACTTTTTGGTAGAATTTACTTACGGAATTATAATTTATGTAGTTTGGCAAATGTAGTTGTACGCTTTGCATAAAAGGCAAGGACCACCCATTGTGATCTGTACTGAGTATGAAAATATTAATTATTGCTATCGAAATAAGTGTGAGACTAGAATTTTTAAACGCTCGTACGCATTTTTTCGCAAAATTTTTAATTCAATTTAAAGTGTAGCTTTACACTTGTTTTAATTTATTTATGGCGAATAGGTATTTCATAATTATTTCTAAGAATAGTTTGTGTCTAGGTGGCGCATTCAGTAGTAGAACAAGTACCCTGTAGTCAAGTGTACTAGTTGTAAACTACCTCACAACTAGTATGAACTGCATGCCCAACTAGTCAGGCAACTACCTTTTTCCATACAAGCAACTGATATTTTTAACACGGGAATGTTCTACGATATGGCAATTGTCAGATTTCGATCAGAAATATACCCTACATATATACATACTAGTTCAAAAAAGACAAAAACATACTAGTCCAATTATGGACCAAATATACCTGTCTCACACTAGTTCGAAATAGACAGAATCATACTAGTCCAATTATGGACCAAATATACCAATCTCATACTAGTTCAAAATAGACATAATCATACTGGTCCAATTATGTACCAAAGATACCAGTCTCATACTAGTTCAAAATAGACAGAATCATACTAGTCAAATTATGGACCAAATATACCAGTCTCATACTAATTCAAAATAGACCGAATCATACTAGTTCAATTATGGACCAAATATACCAGTCTCATACTAGTTCAAAATAGACAGAATCATACTAGTCCAATTATGGACCAAATATCCCAGTCTCACACTAGTTCAAAATACTCAAACAAATTCTAGGCTAATTATTGACCAAAACCACGAGCTTCGGAGTTAATAAATAAAATAAATTCATGAAAATAAATAAAATAAATGTTTGATTAAATATAATTTAATATATTACACATTTTTATTTAGTAACCATAGATTTGCTAATAATTATTGTTGAATTTTTTAAGTATTATTATTTGAAAAGAAAAATAAATATGTATATAAGTATTTCAAACTTGCGAAGATAAATTAAAATGCATTTTTCATTAAATGTTATTAAAATAAAAGCTTTCAGGTACAATAAATACTATATCTTTTATCTTTTCTAATAACATTAAATATCCAAAAGAAAGCATCTTAGTTAAAAATAAAATAAGTACTATAGTTAATTTTTGAGCAAACTTAAATAAAAACAAAAGTTTTGATTAAATCAAACTAAATTCATTTACTTTGCACATTTCAGTTCTTTTTAAAATTTTATAAAAGTAATAATTAACGCCAAAAATTCGAGATTTTTATAAGAACAAAATAAAGAAAACATTTTAGTAAAAAATAAAATAAATACTTGAGTTGACTTTTGAGCAAACTTAAAAAAATAAAAAATTTTAATTAAACCAAATTAAATTCAATTGCATTGTACATTTCAGTAATTTTTTTTTTTAATTGTATACAAGTTTTTAAAATTGTATAAAAGTAATTAACGCTAAAAATTCGTGATTTGGATAAAAATAGAACAAAGAAATAATTCATGTAGTTACTAAATATTCTTAAGTGTTATCTGTAGTTTGGCTTGTTGATTGCTCAGCTTTGTCTGAACTTCGTTTTCGAGACTCTCGCTTCTTGTGCAGCTGCATTGCCTTCCTAAGTTGCACATGAGGCTCATCACAACTCGTTATGCTATTTATCGATTCTACGAAGAAAAAATAATTAATTGAAAAATAAATACCTTGATGCAATTTGTTAAAAATAAAAACATAATGGTAATAATTAATAATAAGTTAAAAAAATATAATGTTATTTACCCAATAAGGCTGAATAAAAATTTGTAAAGACCTTTCTTGCCGTGCGTCCCATCGATATTATATGCCATTATAATTTCGGTTGTCAACACATAGTTTAAGTTTTTCATCACCGAATGGTTTAATAATGTCCTCATAGTGGTAATCTGCCAAAAATATTAGTTATTATAACGTCTAGCATTATATTTACAAAGTTACTACTTATAAACAAATGAGAGTTTTCGGAAAAATTTTTTGATTCAATTGTGTTTAGGCCCTCAATGTTATATACTGGAAAATATTGCATCTTTTCGAGTAGATACGGTTGCTATAAAAACGTAAATTAACAATTAAAATATATATATATTTTTTTTATAAAATATGAAAAAATTCTTACAATTAAATTCTTTTTTTTTTAATTTTCCACAGTTTCTGAAAAAAACAATAATTAATGGTTTGATAAACATATTTTGTATCTAAGTAAATTAATTTACCTTGCAAAATTTTCAGTCCCTCCGCTAAGGATTTACAACTCTCGCATGCTGGAACTGTTTTCTTATCTACATAGAATAGAACATTTGTAATTTTTGTAGTTTGTGTCTATATTATATAAAAGTCATTAATATAAAACTTACATGGTGTGGCTATGTTTTCCGGATCTGCTAAAACTATTCTCTTAATTTTCTTTGACATTGCGTATTTCAACCGCGTTGACTTTTTTGAAAAGTTGTTAAAAGGTGTGATTTATTTACAGATTCTTAAATTTATAAATTTTTTCCCTATAACAAATTTTTTGTCTTAAGAAAATCTTTGAACTTCTATTGGTTCATAAGCATTTATAAGGCAATAGCTGTCAGATTGTTTTGAACAAAATATATAATCATTGAAATAAAAACATAAACCTTTGATTTTTAATTCTTTAAAACCATTGGGTTTATCATTTCTGAGCAAGCGTTCTTCTGCTATTTGATTTACAAGTTGTTAGAGTATGTGAGTCGGTTTTTTAACATATTTTTTCAGAGTCTGTAGATAATTTTCGAAATCGTACGCCGAAAATCTGGAAAATGAATCTGTTGATTTTATGTTTTCTGTTATGTGAAGTAAATTGTGTACGTTGTATTTCAAACTGGAATTTCCGAAAATTGTAGAAAGAAAAGGCGAATTTATCATTATTCTCAACGCAAGTGGTTTGACAAATCGTGAACAAGCAGGCCGGAAAATCCAAAAATTTTGATGTTTATTCAAATTTCCCTCAAACGGCTTGTCAAACCTTCAAACACCCCCATACACAATGCAAATGGCTTAAGGCAAGGGGATATTTCGCTTGGTTTGTCAAGCCGCCTGTGTTGTGTATTTCGCTCTTTACTTGAGGAACGATATTCAAATGCTTGAATGAACAGACAGATGTCACTCTTGCATACCTAAGAAATTGCACAATTTCTTGTTTATCATATACATATTTTTATCAGATTTTAATCTATAGTCATTGTAGCTCTTTCCCCGTTGATCATAGCAACATTCACAACTGCATAAATAACGCCACACACACTTCACATTTCGAATATATTTTGTTAAACAATTTCTCAAATGCTTTCAGAATTAAAAATATTACCGTTTACTCAATACGTAATTCATTATTAAGGCTTTGATTCCAATAGGTACCCGCATTATGTTTTAGCGAAACGTTTGCATATTGGTAGTTTAAAAAATCGATAGTTGATAATCGCCCCATCACCGGAAAAAATTTACAACTGCGAATTTGGTACTTGTTTTGGTTTTGTTTCCTTCCTAGCGCATCTAAACATTTTGTAAGTATAAAAACTGCTTATGAATTAAATGTGTATTAATAAGTTGACATTTTCAGATTAAAAACTGCTGCGGATACAAGTGATAAATGAATTGCTGAATTATATAGAAACACGGGTTGTATGAAGTTACGGCTTTGTTTATGGACCTGCAATGTGCAACGGGCTTCTTCGTTTACTATCGAGATCCAGAATACACCGCATCACAGTATTACCCAGTGTGTAAATCATCTGGAATTGAGAAATCGTCAGTTGCAAAATGCTATAAAGCAAAAGGAACAACAAACAGAATTCTTACAACAAAAACAAATTTCATGTGTATTTTCACAGTATGTTGGTCTTTCCATATCTAAGCAAAGCCTTCACCATTCATCTTGGCATGCAAAAGGTTGGCTTAAAATTTGTAGATATTGCAACATCTGAAGCAAGGTTGCTTGAAGTTATTCCACCGGTTGAATGAAGATCAAAATATTTTGATCTAAACCCATAGTTGTATGAATGATTGCAACGTCTGAGGGCAAGTTGAATCAACTTCATACATTTTATGTTTTTATTCCTATTCCTACCGTGAAAGAGAGTGCAAGTGCTATTTTAAAAAATTGCTATGTGTTTGGATATTGATATTTGGGGAAATTTTGTTGACGAATATACAAACTTGCTTCTCTACGAAAACAACGTTTAAATGAAGTTGTAAAAGAAATCCAATTATGACCCTGTTATGTATGGCGACAGGCACCAGTAGCCATGGCTATCAGTATCGTGCTTTGTATTATGTATCATGTATTATGTATTATGTATGATTCATTGCGGCCCAACAGGCGATAGGTATGTAGGTAGTTCGGAAAGAGGCACACTTAGGCCATGTGATACACAGAGCGCAACCCTGCTAATAAAAAGGAACAGTGCAGCGCCTTCGTCTTGGCCTGAAGGCTGTGTCGGAAATACAGCCGCTGAATTTAAACGTAGAATACATGGTATGGTTAAAAGCATATCTAAGTCAATAACGAAAGCACACACTAAGAAAAAAATATCGATAACAAATTCGATGAAAATATCGATATCAAAATCGATAATAACATCGATAAAAATATCGATAAATAAAGAATAATAAAATCGATAGCAAAGTCGATTACAAAATCCATAAAAAAATCAATAAAAATGTCGATAACAAAATCGATAAAAAATATCGATAACAAAATCGATAAAAATATCGATAACAAATCCGACAAAATATCGATTATTATATCGACAAGTCCCGAGAATCCCGCAAATATCTATATAGCGCCATCTGTTTATCAAAAGCCGAAATATGTACTTACGCACACATACATACTTTTTGTCTCCTTCCCTCACTTCCAACGCATGGAAGTGTTTGCAAAACGATGACGAAGTGATTTTGTATGGGAAATCATTTATGCCCATATATTTGAATCAAATAAACATACTTAGAAGATATCAACCAATACTTCCCATACAGCAAACGAAGGTAAAACTCTTGAGTTTTTGATTAGAGAAAACAAAAACAAAATCATTCGAGCGGTTTTCGAGCATTTTGGTAATTAAAAAAATTTTTTCAACAATTTTTTGCCTTAAAATGCTCAATATTTGTTGAATTTATATAAAATTTATACACGATAATATTTCTATTGCTCCCAAGAATCTCTATCCCGAAAATGAAAGTTATATCTGCAAATAATTAGGTACTAAAGCTCAAAATTAACCCCAAAATAACCAATGTTTACCGTTCTTTTTACGACAGAAACTAATTGGTTACTTACCAAAATGAATCTGTCGATAAGTTTGGAATTTTATCTTTGAGCGCTCGTGCAATAAGCGTTTTTGTGAAGCTCTAAAAATTGCAACTACAACATTTCAGCATAGCCTCCATATCGAATCGTATGACGTATTTCACGTCAAAATAGAGCAAAAGTTAGAAGATATTTTTATGATTTTCTTCAAGAAGAAGAAATTCCATAAATTTTTAGTAAGTTACCTAAAAAAATATAATTTTAAAAACCAGTCCTCGAACCCGGATACGGGAGAAGAAAACGCCTCGAGTGCTACTGAACCAAATCCAGAAGACCCAGCTATAATCAGACATATGTAAAGGAATCAAATCAACAAAATTTTATGGAGATACCTGAAAAAATTTGTAAACTTTAAAATTTCAATATGTGGCAACTCCAAAATGCTGTAACATTATCAATAGCAGCGCAGCAGTAGAGTGACCAAAGCAATAACAGCTGATGGCACAGAGTAAATGTTAAATGGTAGCCGATTTAGCAAGTTAATAAAATCCTAAAACAAAAATGTTAAAAGCGCTGTTAAAAAAGCAGCGACCGCCAATGCAGCAGTAAAATTTCCCACAGTTTTCTTGCATGCACTCACACTTACTTACCTAAATACATACATATTATGTGAGAGCTGTCAGTATTGAGTGACTTTTAGAAAAAAGGTCGTTAAAAAAGTGAAATATGGTCAACTGTGAATATGTATACAATTACTCGTAAAAGTACTTATGATTGTACAGAGCATTGCATCCACATACATACTTAAAAACGAAGATGTATAATTTTGTCTGGTATTTTTTAGGCATATTCAACTGGACCAGCAGTGATTTATTTGATCAAAAGAAAAGAAACTTTATGTCTCCCTCATCTCACTGTGTATGCTACTTAAAAAGTGTGTAATGCATCGTCTTTAAATTATTTTCACTATTTCCACTATTTTTTTAATTCTGCGTTTCTATGAGATATTCCATCCACATTAGCTCGCACATAAAAAAAACTACTCACCTCTTGCAGCGCGACCGCAACGTGTCCATGAAATCTGAAACTAACTCAACAACGAAGAGCATAGCTACATAATCAGCCAGGCCTTGTGCGTATGTACAGTTCTTTTCACAAAAAAGTAATCGGCTTAAGTCACCGAAAAAATTAAGCTATCCAGAGCACATGAGTCCCCGCTATAGGTCAAACATAATGAAACTCGTTTTACTTTTTTGTAGCTATCCATATCCATTATGATAAGTAAAATGTTTAGATTTTAAGAAAATATAAAGTTTTACAGAAAAACTGAATTTAGTCCCGATTAACAGCTACCAAGTGCGCGCATGCGTTAGGGTGCCGTCACACGCAAGGCCGAGCGGCGCCGAGCGAAGCTGGGGAGAACGAGGGAAAGCCATTGGTTTTCACACTGAACGACGCGGAGTGGAGCTTTTTGTATGGAAATGGTCGTAAAGATATCACAATGAAAAGCGGCTAAATTATTTGTCCATCGTGTTACCACTAAAATCAAAAAAAAAAAATATTATACTGGAACGGTACAACAGGTAATCAATTAAAGTTTAAAAAACTTTGGATGCTCGTTATAAAGTTCCGCAAGCAGCTGATGTTTACTCTAGGGAGTTCATCTGAACAAACTGTGACCCGAGATGTTTCAACCTGAGCTTCGCAAAAGTAGAGCAGCTGAAACCTGAGATGATTGCACCTCGTCATCCTTCAGACGGATTCTTTCCAGGATTAAATGAGAGAGAACGCCCTCTACTGACCTTAAGCTGGGGAAAGTCACTCCTCCATTTAGCAATTACGGTTCTGTCACGGAGCATTCGTGAGATAAGCGAGCTTTCTTAGGGCTTTTACAATCGGCTTAGATTAAAGGCCCCCTCTTTAACCACCAAAAACTTTAATAACAGAATGCAGAATGCAGATTCCACGGATCTACCATTCTTAATTTAAGCATGCTGAGAGAAGCTTAGTATCTTTTGGGGAATCCTGTTTCTTAAATGCAGGTCAAGTAGCCTCTCCAAGGCCTTCAGTAAGAAGGAATAGAGGCTAATTGGACTAGAGTCCTTTGGAATACATAGGAGGACTTTCCTGCTTTGGCAAT